CAATTATTTTCAACTATACAACTTTTTGAGAATTTTTAGACAACTTATTCAAAAATATAATTTTCCATATTTTGCCACACTTTCGGCAATTTTCGAAATTTATGTAAATACATTCTCTTGTAGATTTCGGGCGACAGAAGTAACTTTCGGTCTATTTCTTTTATAACTCCAACCGTTTTTCCACATTGAAATATCGCAATTTTTAAAAATTTCAAAAAATTTGAATTTCACTCCGAATATTTCGAAAATGTTGCGTGATCCCAAATAGGGTATTTTTTGGAATCGAATTATATTTAGATATTTTTCTTAATATACGTAGTCTTCTTTTTACAAACCAGAAAGTAAAAACATGTTTAAATTAATAAATTTTTGTAAGGGAATACGGATTTTGCAGTTACGCTCCGCCTCTCGGTGTGATACCCAATGAGAAATTCATCACAATTGAGACCGGGCGGGTGGGCGGGGTTTATATTTTGCCTTCTTTTTGTTCCTTAACATATATAGTCTTCTCTTACCAACCCACATTTCTCTATAAATTTAGTCGAAAAGAAAATGACGTGCATATAATAAGAAAAAAAAAAGGCAAAATACAAAACCCGCCCACTCACCCTCATATCAATTGTGACGACTTGTTTTATTAATCCTCGGCAAAATGCTTATTTCTCGACAAGAATCTACAATGTAAAACATGTTTTTATGTACCATGTTTTTAAAAGAATGTCAAAAAATAAGCCCCACCCGCCCACCCCAACTTCGAATGTGATGAATTTTTCATTCGTTGTCCAACCAAGGGGCGGAGCTTAACTGTAAAATCCGTATTTTCCGACAAAAATTTATCATTTTAAACGTTTTAAACATCTTGTCACGGAAAGAAGATTACGTATGTTTAGAAAAAACGGGAAAATTTAAGCCCCGCCCACCCACCCCCATCCAAATTGTAAATTATTTTTGTATTCGTTGTGAGCCAGAGGGCGGAGTTTAATTGCCAATTGCTTATTTCTCAACAAGAACTTACCATCTGAAACATGGTTTTTAAGTAGGAAGTTGTTATTGAAAAAAACCTGATTATATTAAGGAAAAAAAGTAGAGATAAAGCATCTTATATAATATGGTTTTCTAAACCGTCAATTATTTTCAACTATACAATTTTTTGAGAATTTTTAGGCGACTTTTTTAAAAATAAAATTTTTCACATTTTGACACATTTTCGACAGTTTTCGAAATTTATCTAAATACATTCTCCTATAGATTACGAGCCACAAAAGTTACTACTAGCCCATTTCTTCGATAACTTCACCGTTTTTCCAGAATGGCCCAACTGAAATATCGCAATTTTCAAAAATTTCAAAAATTCGGATTTCATTGGGAATATTTCGAAAATATTGCTCCGTGATCCCGAATAGTCTATATTTTTAGAATCAGCTTATATTTAGACATTTTTCTTAATATACGTAATCTTCTTTTTACAAACCAGAAACTTCAAACATGTTTAAATTAGTACATTTTTGTAGGAAAATACGGATTTTGCAGTTATGCTCCGCCTCTCGATGTGATAACCAATGAGAAATTCATCACAATTCAGATCTGGGTGGGTGGGCGGGGTTTAATTTTAGCTTTGATTTTTACTTCATACATATAGTTTTCTTTGAACAACACGATTACTTAACAAGGATTTTGCAATAAAATTCGTCAGAACTGAGACAGGGTGGGTGGGCGGGGCTTATGTTTTGCTTTCCTTTTTTTCTTCTAAATATAACATAGTCTCTTCAGAACAACAAATTGAAAACATGTTTCAACTAGTAAATTTTGCCCCTCACATTACTATACAAATTTAGTGGAAAAGAAAACTGACTGCATATATTAGGAAAAAAACGCAACGCCCACCCACCCTCGTCTCAATTGTGACGACAAGTTTTATTCGTCGTGAACTGAGGGGCGGAGCTTAACTGCAAAATTCGTATTTCTCTACAAGAATCTACTATGTTAAACATGTTTTTACGTATCAAAGAAACTATCTATGTCAAGAAGAAAACTGGCAAAAAATAAGCCCCACCCACCCACCCCATCCTGAAATGTAATGAATTTTTTATTCGTTGTCGAATCAAGGGGCGGAGCTTAAGTGTAAAGTCCGTGTTTCCGGACAAAAATTGACCATTTTAAACATTTTAAATATCTTGTCGTTAAAAGAAGATTACGCACATTTTTAGCCTCGCCCACCCACCGCAATCTCAATTGTAAATGATTTTTTTTATTCGTTGGGAGCCAGAGGGCGGAGTTTAATTACAAAATCCTTATTTCTCAACAAGAACTTACCATCTGAAACATGTTTTTAAATTGTTGAAAGAAACCTGTATATTAAAAAAAAAAAAAAAAATCAAGCATGAAGCATTTTATGCAGTATGGTTTTTTAGATAGCAATAATAACATGCACTTCAATTATTTTCAACTAAACAATTTTTTGAGGATTTTTTAGACGACTTTTGCAAAAACATAATTTTCCATATTTTCACACACTTTCGACAATTTTCGAAATTTATCTAAATACATTCTCTTGTAGATTTCGAGCCACGGAAGTTACTTTCGGTCCATTTCTTCAATAACTCCAACCGTTTTTCCAGAATGGCCCCACTGAAATATGTATTGCAATTTTTAAAAATTTTCGAAAAATTTTACTCCAAATATTTTCAAAATATTGCTCCGTGATCCCAAATAGACATTTTTCTTAATATACGTAGTCTTCTTTTTACAAACCAGAAGCTTGAAACATGTTTAAACTAGTAAATTTTTGTAGGGAAATACGGACTTTGCTGCTACGCTCCGCCTCTCGGTATGATAACCAATGAGAAATTCATCACAACTGAGACAGGGCGGGTGGGCGGGGTTTATATTTTGCCTTTTTTTTGTTCCTTAACCTATACAGTCTTCTGTTACCAACCCACATTTCTCTATAAATTTACTAGAAAAGAAAATGACGTGCATATATTAAGAAAAAAACGCAAAATACAAAACCCGCCCACCGACCCTCATCTCAATTGTGACTACTTGTTTTATTAGTCGTCAGCTGAGGGCGCAGTTTAATTGCAAAATGCTTATTTCTCGACAAGAATCTACAATATGAAACATGTTTTTATATTTAATGTTTTTAAAAGAATGTCAAAAGAAGTCAAAAAATAAGCCCCGTCCACCCACCTCAACGTCAATTGTGACGAATTTTTCATTCGTTGTCGAACCAAGGGGCGGACTTTAACTGTAAAATTCGTGTTTTCCGACAAAAATTTATCATCTTTTTAAATATCTTGTCGCGGAAAGATCACGTATGTTCAGAAAAAACGGCAAAATTTAAGCCCCGCCCACCCACCCTATCTCAATTGTAAATGATTTTTCTTATACGTTGTGAGCCAGAGGGCGGAGTTTAATTGCAAATAGCTTATTCCTCACAAGAATTTACCATCTGAGATATGTTTTTAAGTATGATGTTGTTAAAATACCTGTATACAGTATGGTTTTTTAAATAGCAATATTAACATGCATTTCAATTATTTAAAACTATACAATTTTTTGAGAATTTTTAAGCGAGTTTTTCAAAAATGAAATTTTCTACTATGTATTCAAATTTTGACACATTTTCGACGATTTTATCTAAATACATTTTCTTGTAGATTTGGGACCGTAAAAGTCACTTCTTGTCTTTTCAGAATCGTCCATTGAAATATCGCAATTTTTAAAGATTTAAAAAGATTCGAATTTCACTCCGAATATTTTGAAAATATTGCTTGGTAATCCCAAACAAGCTATATTTTTGGAATCATCTTACATTTTGGCATTTTTCTTAATATACTTAACCTTCTAAAAAAAAAAAGAAACTTAAAACATGTTTAAAATAGGAAATTTTTGTGGAGAGATATGGAATATGCAGTTATGCTCCGCCTCTCGGTCTGACAACCTATGAAAGAAAAATTCATCACAATTGAGATAAGGGCGGGTGGGTGGGGTTTAATTTTTGTCTTTAATTTTTACTTAATACATATACTTTTCTTTGAACAACACAACACGACGTAGAAAGAAAAATCGTCACAATAGCGACAGGGTGGGTGGGCGGGATTTATATTTTCTTTTGTTTCTTATTATACATAGTCTTCTCTTTACAACAAGAAACTGAAAACATGTTTAAAATTGTAAATGAAAATTTATTATAAAAGGAAAGTAAGCAGAAAAGAATTAACATTTTATATACTACCCAGTTTTCGCTGCGACCCCTATTTTTTGTAAAAAATCATATACAAAACCCCGCGTTGGCTTATTCCAGCACAGAATACTTTTACTTCCCTCTTAAAAATATTTAATACAAGCAACAATGGAAAGAGTGAAAATATCTCCAAGCGGAATAACGAACGCACTTAAAAATGTCCATTAACAACCGTCAGTCCAGAAGATCAAAGTCGGCACGTAGGCAGCTCTAAAACAGGTCTTTCACGAAGGGTAAAAGTTAAACTCTGTAATTTTTGTCACAAAAGAATAAATTGACTTTTCTTCCTGCATTTATGAACAGAGACGCACAATTATTATCACAACACTTAAACAAAAAGTCTATTTTTTGCACAATCATCACAACACGACTCCCACCCGCACTTGCAAAAAATACGCAAATTAATTTCGCTTCTGAATTTGCGCGTTACATGAAGTCGCCCTGGGCTAGTAAAAAATTTTAAAAATTAAAATTCTCTTATGTGAACGTATTTGCGTTTTTATTTTCGCACACAGGCGTACGTGGCCTCCAGGGTGAACTTTTTACATAGATATACAAGTATCGCAAAAAACTAGTTTAAAACCGCCGCCACTGAATTTCCAAACGTGCGAAAACACAACATTACCAACCGTTTTTATGAAGTAATGCACAAAAAGCGTGTAATAACGTCGTTTTTCAACTAAAATACGTGGCGCCCTCTTCACATTCACGCTCCTATTACCAAACAGAACCCGCTTTAGTCGAGCTTCAAACCCCCTCTGCTTTGTCGTTGTGTTTACAAGAATCTCTTTAAACAGCATCCAAACAGTGCTTGATGAGTTGGAAGTAGAACAAACTCGAAATTCCGTGTTCGAAACGCAACTTCCGCTTGCACAAACTCGCCGAAAAACCAAATCCGGTAAGTCGATTTGAGGTTAGTTTCCGCTGCATTCATACCGATCTGATAAAGTAATTTAGCCAAGAAAAGTGGGTGGTTAGTGCTGATGTGGATCATACATCAGTTATAAAACCACATCATACACGAAGACACGTATTTGTGGTGTTTCAGAAATGATTATCAGGGAAGCTGTGGTGTTATTCGTTTTGGCTTTCGCCGCCTTCGCCTTACCACAATCCGAAGAAAAGAAAGACAGGGTGTTTGATAGGGAGTTGAGCGACAAGGAGCACTTCGAGAACGAGCACCACAACCCCCAGTATGACCACGAGGCGTTCCTGGGGGAAGAGGCCAAGACTTTCGACCAGTTGCCCCCGGAAGAGAGCAAACGGCGGTTGGGGTGAGTCTCCAAGTTGCGCCATTTTAACCCCATTTCATGCTTCTTTCCTAAAATCGTATTTTTTTAATTGGAACTCATATTAAATTAGTAATACATAATTAGAAAAAATTGTGTGTGTGTGGGTAGTGACAAAAAGCCATTTTTACCCGCTGCTTAAACCTCGTCGCTTTTTAATTGATTATGCGTTGTGAGAGGTGTCGTGATTAATATAAAATTAAAAACGTCACATACCTCCAACCAATCGCCTTCCTTCCATTTATTGTCGTCCTCACTACATTTTGCAACTCACCCAAGTGCCGTGTGTGTGTTCTCTTATCACCCAATCCCAGGTAAATCCATCCAATTATTTCATTCGTTCGAGCGTGATATTCAAAAATAATCGTTTTTCTCAATCCAGTTTAATCGTCGATAAAATCGATAACAATAACGACGGCTACGTGTCCCGGGAGGAACTCAAAGACTGGATTCGCTACACCCAGAAGCGCTACATTAACGAAGACGTGGAGCGTCAATGGAAGCAACACAACCCAGAGAACCAAGAAACCATCTCCTGGGACCGCTACCAGAAGCTCGTTTACGGCTTTCTGGACTCCATGGACCCCGCTGAAGCGGAAAAAGACAGTGAAGGCTTCTCCTATAAGCAAATGTTGAAGAGAGATAGAAGACGGTGGTCCGTGGCCGACTCCAACGGTGACGACGCCCTCACGAAAGAAGAGTTCACCCATTTCCTCCACCCGGAAGAGTCGGAACACATGAAGGACATCGTGGTACAGGAGACCATGGAGGATATTGATAAAGACAACGACGGGAGGATCTCCCTCAAGGAGTACATTGGGGATATGTACAAAGGGGAGGACGATGAAGAAGAACCCGAATGGGTGAATAACGAACGGGAGCAGTTCGCCACCTACAGAGACCGAGACGGCGACGGGTTCATGGACAACGAGGAAGTCAAGAATTGGATTTTGCCCCCGGATTTCGACCACGCTGAAGCGGAGTCAAGACATTTGATCTACGAGGCGGATTCCGATGCCGACGAGCAATTAACCAAGGACGAAATTTTGAGCAAGTATGACTTGTTCGTGGGGTCGCAGGCCACCGATTTCGGGGAGGCGCTAGCCAGACATGACGAGTTTTAACGTGTAGGGGCGCCGCAGGGGCCAGTCTTCCTAATTTACCAAAAAATCTCAAAGATGCTGCTTAGTTAATTTAGGTATTTTTATTTTGTCTTTTGTTTGTTAGATTCGAGTTAGAGGATGTATAAGTGTACTGATTTAGTCTGTATTCCAGTGTACTAAAATTTATTCATTGTGTAATGAGATTATGTGTAGGTGTTGTATTCATGTGCCATTCCATTGGCCAAAGCATTTACTAATTTAGGTCAATTAAGTTAGGTCGTCGGCATCGGTTCTAAGGCCTGTGGATACTTAATGAATCTTTGGTGCTCACATCGTTATTTTTATATACCATGTTCCCACTTAACAATAAAAAGTTTCATTTATTTTGGGGTTTTATTGGCGTCTAGGGAGCGAAAATTGGTGAGTCAAGTTTTGTGCAATAGGAATGTAGAGTATGTATGAGTCACTCGTAATGGTCATCACCGCCTTTGAAAAAGAATTAGAACGAAAGCAAGCTTTAAAAATCCATTGAGGTCTGTATAATTGGTTGCATACATTCTAGTATTCGTGTGGTGAGAAGGTAGAATACGTTTTGTAAAAAATATGAGGCAATTAATTAAACGTTTATTAAAATTTCAATTAGAAATACAATGTGATGACGAACTTGACTTAAAAACCAACGTTTAATTGTTTTGTCTTGTAAAAACCTCAATTAACATTCGACTTTTTTCCTTACGTTTATTTATTTCCAAATTTTTTCTACATAAAACGAATCGTAATAAGCGGGTTTATATAGACCTCTGGAGTACGAAAACATAGGTTCTTGTAAACTACTGGACCGATTGTTGTCGACAACGAAATCCAGTTTTTGTAAAAAAAATCCAAATTGTATAACAACATGTTACAATTTATCTCTGAAATTGCAGAATCGAATGCTTTGAAATCTTGAAAACGTTTTAAGGTTATTGGAAGCATGGAAAATTATCGATTTTCGATTTCTGGATTTTTTAACTTTCGACTTCTCATTTTTCCGATATTTCAGTCTTTTTTATTCTTCAATATTTCGATTTTTCAGTTCCCGGTGTTTTAATTTTTCAATGTCTCAATTTTAAATTTTTTTTAAATTGAGATTTTTTGTCGGCTTTAGGTTTTCAGTTTTTTTTTCTTGATTTATGGAGATTTCGATGTTTCGATTTTTCGATTTTTTGATTTCTTAATTTTTGATTAATCGATTTTCTAGTTTTTCAACTTTTCTATTTCCAGGCTTTCCGATGTTTCGTTTCCTCAGTTTTCCAATTTTTTATTTTTTCAGGTTCTTGAATTTTTCGAAATTTCAGTTTTTGAATTTTACGATTTTAAATTGAGATTTTTAGATGATATTTTAATTTTTAATCCTTAAATTTTTAGATTTTCGATTTCTCGATTTTTCCGATTTTCGATACTTTATTTTTCAAATTTTCGAATTTTTAAATTTTTCATTTTTTTCATGTTTCGATTTCTGAATTTTTTGAGTTCTCGGTTTTAGATTCTTCGGTTTTTCAATTTTGCGATTTTCATTGTTTTTATTTTTTTCGATTTATGGAGATTTCGATTTTTCCATTTTTCAATCTTTCGATTTTGGGCCACTTCTATTAACGAATTTTTTTATTTTTTGACTTCTCGACTTTTCGATTTCTCGATTTCCCGATCTGTTGATGTTTTAGTTTTATATATTTTTAAATTTTGGATTTTTCACTTTCTTGGTTTTTCGATTTTTTAATGTCTGATTGTTCTTTTCAATTTTTCGAATTTTTAATGTTCCAATTCCACGATTTTTCAAATTTACGACTTCTCCATGTTTCAGTCTAGGGTTCTTAAATTGAACATTCTGAATTTTTCGTATTTTACATTTTTTAATTTTTCAGTTACTGACGTTTCAAAATTTTCTATTTTTTGATTTCTCAATTTCTCGATTAATCGATTTTTTGCTTTTTCCACTTTTCTATTTCTAGATTTCTCGATTTTTCGTTTCTCTAGTTTTTCAAATTTTCGTTTTTTCAGGTTTTTGGTTTTTAACCTTTAGAATTTTTGACGTTTTGAATTTTACGATTTTGCATTGAGATTTTTCGATTTTGCATTGAGATTTTTCGATTTCTCCATTTTGCTTTTTTCGATATTTTTTTCTTCAATTTTTCGAATTTTCGATTTCTGGACTTCCCGTTTTTTTGACGTTTCGTTTCTCGATGTTTCGACTTTTTAGATTTTGGATTTTTCAGTTTCTTGATTTTTCGATTTTTCGACTTTTCAGCTTTTCGATATTTCAATTTTTTAATTTTTAAATGTTTTGCTTTTTCAATTTTTCAATTTTCGATTTTTGAATAGACACTTCAATTTTTCGATATTTCAGTTTTATGGATTTTTCTAATTTTCAAAAATTCAAAATTTCGATTTCTATATTTTTCAATTTTTCAGTTTTTGATGTTTCAAAAGTTTCGATTTTTTGGTTTTTCAAAATTTCTGTCTCCAGACCTCTCGATTTTTCGTTTCTTCAGTTTTCCAATTTTCATTTTTTCAGGTTACTGATTTTTCAACTTTTCGAAATTTCAACTTTTGAATTTTACGATTTTAAATTGAGATTTTTCATGTTTCGATTTCTGGATATTTGAATTTTTTGACTTCTCTCTATCTAGTTTTTCAAATTTTCGTTTTTTCATGTTTTGCTTTTTCACTTTTAGAATTTTTGACTTTTGAATTTTACGATTTTGAATTGAGATTTTTCGATATTTTAATTTTTCATTTTAAAAATTTAAAATTTTTCGAGATCTCTATTTTTCGTTTTTCGATATTTTGTTCTTCAATTTTTCGAATTTCTAAATTTTAGATTTGTCGGTTTTTTCATGTGGCGATTTTCGATATTTCGATTTTTCGTATTCTCAGTTTTAGATTTTTCGATTTTTCAATTTTGCGGTTTTAATTTTTTTATTTTTCTCGATTTATAGAGATTTCGATTTTTCAGTTTTTGGTTTTATCCATTTTTTTTCTGAATTTTTCAGTTTTTCGATTTTGGTTTATTTCTATTGGTGAATTTTTCGACTTTTCATTTTTTCGGTTCCTCGATTTCCCGATCCTTTAATGTCTTGTTCCCGAATTTTCAATTTTTCGATTATTTATTTGAATTTTGGATTTTTTCGGTGTTTTGGTTTTTCGTTTTTTCGACTTTTCAGATTTTCGATTTTTCAATTTTCCGATTTTTTAATGTTTTGTTTTCGCGAGTTTTCAATTTTTTGATTCTTCAATTTTTCGATTTCTCCATATTTCGGCTTTATGGTTTTAAAATGTTTCCATTATTCAATTTTTCGGTTTTTGCAGTTTTCAATTTTTCAGGTTTTGACGTTTCAAACGTTTCGATTTTTCCATTTTTTTTAGGTCCTCGATTAATCGATTTTTTCGTTTTTCAAGTTTTATATTTCTAGATTTCTCAATTTTTCGATTCTTCAGTTTTTCATTTTTTCAGGTTTTTGAATTTTCAGCTTTCCGAATTTTCGACTTTAGAATTTTACGATTTCAAATTGAGATATTTTAATTTTATCAATCTTTAAAATTTTAGATTTTTCGATTTCCCCATTTTCTTGTTTTTCGATATTTTTATTTTTTAATTTTTCGAATTTTTAAATGTCAGATTTATCAGTTTTTTCATGTTTCGATTTCTCGATATTTCGATTTTTCGACTTCTCGGTTTTAGATTTTTCAGTTTTTCAATTTTACGATTTAATTTTTTTTTATTTTTCATCTATGGATATTTGGTTTTTAGATTTTTCTACCTTTCAGCTTTTCGATTTTAAAATGTCTGATTTTTCAATTTTTCGATTGTTTAATGTTTCGTTTTCTCGAATTTTCAATTTTTCGATTCTCCAATGTTTTGAAATTTTAATTTTTCAAATTTTGAATTTTAGGATTTTCTTTTTCTTGATTTTTCACTCGTTATTCCTATTTTTCAATTGCTGGGATTTTTAGATTTTTGACGTTTTAGTTTACTGATTTTTCGATTTCTTGATATTTTAAATTTTAGATTTGTCGATTTTTCAATTTTTCGAATTTTCGATTTTTCTGCTTTCGATTTCTGGATTTTTTAACTTTCGATTTCTAAATTTTCCGATATTTCAATTTTTTTATTCTTCAGGTCTTCAATTTCTCGATATTACAGTGTTGGGATTTTTCATTTTTTACATCCTTCAATATTTCGATTTTTACACTTTTCAATTTTTCAGTTTTTGACATTTCAAGTGTTTTGATTTTTCGATTTCTCAATTTCTGAATTAATCGATTTCTGGTTTTTCAACTTTTCTAGATATTTCTAGATTTTTGGATTTTTTGATTCTTCACTTTTTCAATTTTTCATTTTTTCAGATTTTTGATTTTTCGACTTTTCGAATTTTTGACTTTTGAATTTTTCAATTTTTCGAGTTTTAAATGGTTCGTTTTCTCGATTTTTCAATTTTTCGATTCTTTAATTTTTTGAAATTTTAATTTTTCAATTTTTCAACTTCAGATTTTTCGATTGCTTCGATTGCGATTTTCTTTTATTTTAAATTTTCAATTTTTCGATTTTGGGCTATTTCTGTTCCTGAAGTTTTCGATTTTTCGACTTCTCGAATTTTAGATTTTTCGATTTTCCAATTCGATGTTTCAGTTTCTTGGTTTTTCGATTTTTCGACTTTTCAGATTTTCAATTTTTCAATTTTTCGATTTTTAAATGGTTCGTTTTCCCGAGTTTTCAATTTTTTGATTCTTTAATTTTTTGAAATTTTAATTTTTCAATTTTTCAATTTCAGGTTTTTCGATTGCTCAATTTTTCACTTCTTCGTTATTCCTATTTTCCAATGTCTCGAATTTTTAAATTTTTGACTTTTCAGTATATGTATTGATTTTTCAATTTCTTGGTTTTTCGATTGTTAAAATTTTCGACTTTTAGATTTTTGGATTCCTCGATTTTTCAATTTTCGATTTCTCAGTTTTTCAACATTTCAATTTTGGGAATAATTCAATTTTTAGATTTTTCAATTTTTTGAATTGTACAATTTTAAATTGAGATTTTTCTGATATTTTTATTTTTCAATTTTTAATATTTTAGATTTTCTTTTCTCGATTTTTCCGTTTTTCCATATTTTCATTTTTCAAATTTTAAAATTTAAATTTTTAGATTTATTGATTTTTTTTAATTGTAACGAATCTTTCAATTTTTTACCATTCAATTTTGGACCATTTCTATTCTTGAATTCTTCGATTTTTCCACTTCTCGACTTTTGGATTTTTTGATGTTTCGTTTTTGAATGTTTATGTTTTTCGATTTTTTTAAATTTCCGATTTTTCTGTTTCTCGATTTTTCTATTTTTTTACTTTTCAGCTATTTGATTTGATTTTTAAACGTTTGATTTTTTGATTTTTCAATTTTTTTATGTTTCGTTTTCTCTATTTTTCAAATTTTCGATTCAATTTCTTGAAATTTCAATTTCTCAGTTTTAGACGTTTCAAAAGTTCCGGTTTCTCGATTTTTCAATTTTTCGATTCTTCAAATTTTCGATTTCTTTAGGTTCAATAGTCTGGTTTTTAAATTTTTACGTTCTTCAACTTTTGGCCTTTTTTCAATTTTTCAGTTTTTGACGTTTCAAAAGTTTCGATTTTTCGATTTCTCAATTCCTCGATTAATCGATTCTTCAGTTTTTCATTTTTTCAGGTTTTTAATTTTTCAACTTTTCGAATTTTCGACTTTCGAACTTTACGATTTTTGAGATTTTTCGATATTTTAATTTTTGAATCTTTAAAATTTTGGGTTTCTTTTAGGTTTCTCCATTTTTCCGTTATTCAATATTTTATTTTTCAATTTTTCGAATTTTTAAATTTAAAATTTTTCAGTTTTTTCATGTTTCGATTTTTCGATATTTGGATTTTTTGACTTGTTGGTTTAAGATTTTTCGGTTTTTCAATTTTGCGATTTTTATTTTTTTTATTTTTCTCAGTTTATGGAGATTTCGATGTTTCGATATTTCGATTTTTTGATTTTTCAAATTTTCGAACTATCGATTTTTTTTAATTCCAAGTCTTCAATTTTTAACCATCCAATTCTTCGATTTTGGCTATTTCTATTTTAGTTTTTCGTTTTTTAAATCTTGGATTTTTAGTTTTCCAACTTTTCTATTTCTAGACTTCGCAATTTTTCGATTCTTCAGTTTTTCATTTTTTGAGGTCTTTGAATTTCATCTTTTCGAATTTCCAGCTTTTGAATTTTATGATTTTAAATTTTAGATTTTTCGATTCTCCACTTTCCTGTTTTTCTATATTTTTATTTTTCAATTTTTCGAATTTTTAAATTTTAGATTTTTCAATTTTTTCATGGTTCGATTAGGATTTTGGGTTTTTCAATTTTGTGATTTTATTTTATTTTATTTTTTCTCGATTTATAGATATTTCGATGTTTCGATTTTTCAATTTTTCGATTTATCGATTTTTTAAATTCTAAATCTTTCAATTTTTAACTGCTCAATTTTGGGCTATTTCTATCCTTGAATTTTTAAATTTTTCGACTTCCCGACTTTTCGACTTTTCGATTTCCCAGTCTTCTGATGTTTCGTTTTTCGATTTTCTAAATTTTGGATTTTTCAATTTTTGGATTTTTTGATGTTTCGATTTTTAGACTTTTCGGGTTTTCTTTCTAAGGTTTTTCGATCATTTTTTTTGCTGAGGCTACAATAAATTAGCCAATCATCTGAAGGTACAGTTTTAATACATTTTTCAAGGTTGCTGAAAATGAATGAGAAAGGAATATATACCGTTAAGAAAAAAAATGTAGAGAAATTTGTTGATAAGCTGCTTTCACTTTTCCCAAACCATATTCACAAAAGCAGCAAGAATTGAGGTTTAGATTTGTGTTTATCCTATTTAAATGAACACTTTTTACAATTTGAGTTCGTCGAAACAAAGACTGTTAACGAAAAGACAACATTTATTCAATAATAACTATTATATACAAGATCGTAACGTACAAGAAAACAATAATGCAAAAATCTTAATGCTCCCACATAAATAGCATAGGTACTAACTTATATAAAAATATATTAAACGTAAACAGCGTAAGATATGTATAAAAAGAAGCCTTCTGTCGTAAGAAACTACATCTACGAATCAATTTCGTTATCACATGACAAAATAAACGATTTTGGATGATTAGCGCGAACGGTACACAATCATACATAATAAGGAAGTCCTATGATTTTTTTACAAATTATACAATCGAATCACAAAGTGTGTACTTATCTTTCAGTATATTTACATGCGCCCGTCGAGGGCAAGATAAACATGCATTTCGGAAATTAGACGACACCTGAGTGATCTCAACAGGCCACAAATTAGTATACATGAAAGAAAACTCCCCGCTCGCAAAGGATCTATGGCCATGTGTCGCAAGGAGAGTCGCAATGGCACCTTCCAAAGGCTCCAACTAAAATTAAAAATCACAAACACGTCGTATACTTCCTTTGAAACGATACCGAGGCTCGAAGCACCAATCAGAGTATTCACAAAACAATTTGGGAGGAGTTTGAGTGAGTATCCACGAGGGGGAGCGAACTTCGACGAAAACCCGGCACTGCGAAAGTCCCCTGCCGAACGCGCGAACTTCGACTCCCCACTTGACGCCCGCTGAATTTTGGCGTCTGACTAGACTTCCGAATCGCGCCTCCTCTGCGAAGGTGCCAGCTCGTATACAATGCAAGAGTGTGAGAACGTAACAGAAAGAACCGAAAATGTCGGTGAGTGATTAGTTTTTGGCAAGTAGACTAGCACGTATGAGATCTTCCCCCGGAGCACTGCACTGAACTCTTAGAGTTTCTTTTGGCGGTCCGGCGTCAGTGGTGCGGGGGCGGCGGTTCGAACGTCTCCGAGTCGGGGCTGCCGTAGCCGCTGGAGCCGTCGTCCCTGGTGCTAATGGGCTGTCGCGGTGGGCCGCCCAGGACCATGTCCGAGCTCTTCTCGCTGTAACAGGACGGGGTCGTCAGAAGTCTACCTTCACCAACACCGTTTAGATTGTCGCCCGCTGGCTGAAAGAGATCAACCAACTGTACTCAGGGTTTTGATGGGTGGGGGCGGTGCGAAAGCGGACCGTGGTCGGGGACGGTTTAAACTACCTATGTTTTCTAGGGTTGAGAGTTAAATCAACCCTGGGCACCCGACAAGGAAACGACTATGAATTATAGCATACATTAACTGGTCCTTTTTCAAAATTTATTTCAAATCGATGGTTCCAAATCAATGTCAAAATAAGTCAAAAAGCATTAAAAATTCTAAAAATCTACTACATCGACTTTCCTAAGATCGTTTTCCCTAAGTTGTTGAAAACAATAAGAATGAAGAACAAATTACTTTTAATTATTAATCAACTTATCCAATTTATATACAGTCGCCACGAACTGAATTCAAAAACGAGACATATTGATTTTTGTTAAGGAGGTATTTAGTGCGATTTCGAAAAAACTAGGTGGCTAAAATAAAAAAAAATTGTTTACGCAAGAATGATACATCTATCAAAGATGAAAAGTGTTTCAGTTTCATAATCATTCTCTTCGTTAGGCATCAGACATTTACAGCCCGCAATATTTGAATATAAATTCGACTTCTTCAATTGTAATCGAGATCGTTTTCCCTAAGTTGTTAAAATTCGATTTCTTCATTTTTCGATTTTTTTACTTTTCAGCAATTTGATTTTTCAATTTTTCGATTTTTAAACAGTTGATTTTTCGATTCTTCAATTTTTTGAAATTTCAATTTTCAATTTTTCAGTTTTAGATGTTTCAAAAGTTCCATTTTTTCGACTTTTCAATTTTTCGATTCTTCAGATTTTCGATTCTCCATGTTCAATTTTCTGGTTTTTAAATTTTGCCATTCTTCAACATTTGGGTTTTTACATTTTCAATTTTTCAGGTTTTGACGTTTCAAAAATTTCTCAATTTCTCGATTAATCGATTTTTGGTTTTTCAATTTTTCTATTTTGAGATTTCTCGGTTTTTCGATTCTTCAGTTTTTCATTTATTCAGGTTTTTGATTTTTCAGCTTCGAATTTTCGACTTTTGGATTTTACGATTTTTGAGATTTTTCGATATCTTAATTTTTCAACGTTTAAAATTTTAGATTTCTTTTCGATTTCTCCATTTTTCCGTTTTTTGATATCTAATTTTTCAATTTTTCGAATTTTTAAATCTTAGATTTTTCAGTGCTTTCATGTTCCGATTTCTCGATATTTCGATTTTTTGGGTATTATAGAGGTTTCGAGGTTTCGATTTTTCAATTTTACAATTTTTCGATTTTTTTAATTCTAATAAATCTTTCAAGTTTTAGATATTCAATTTTTCGATTTTGGGCTACTTCTATTTCTATCTTTGTTATTTTTTGATGTTTCGTTTCTCGATGTTTTAGTTTTTCAATTTTTTAAATTTTGGATTTTTTGGTTTCTTAGTTTTTTGATTTTTTCACTTTTCAGCTTTTCAATTTATCAATTTTTCCATTTTTAAATGTTTTACTTTTTCGATATTTCATTGTTGGGATTTTTTAACTCTCGATTCTTTAGATTGGCGTTTTCCAGTTTATGACATTTGAAAAGTTTCGATTTTTCGATTTCCCGATTTATCGATTGATTGATTTTTTGGTTTTTTAACTTTTTTATTTCTAAATTTCTTGACTTTTCGTTTCTTCAGTTTTTTATTCTTTTTAATTTTTCGTTTTTTAGGTTTTTGATTTTTCAACTTTTCAAATTCAACTTTCGAATTTTACAATTTTAAGTTGAGTTTTTTCTGATATTGTGATCTTTCAGTTTTTAAGATTTTTTAGATTTTTCGATTTCTCCAGTTTTACGTTTTTGACTTTTCGGTTTTAGATTTTTCGATTTTTCAATTTTTCGGTTTATCGATTTTTTTTAATTCGATTTCCAATTTTTAAATGTTTGATTTTTCAATATTTCGATTTTTTAATGTTTCGTTTTCTTGATTTTTCAATTATTCGATTCTTCAATTATTCATTTTTCAATTATTGACGATTTAAAAGTTTCGATTTTTTGATTTCTCAATTTCTTGATTAATCGATTTTTGGTTTTTCAACTTTTCTATTTCTACACTTCCTGGATTTTTCGAATTTCCAGTTTTCAATTTTTAAAATTTTTCGTGTTTTAGATTTTTGAACCTTTAGAATTTTCGACTTTTGAATTTTACCGTTTTTTGAGATTTTTCGATGATATTTAGTTTTTCACTCCTTAAAATTTTAGAGTTCTTTTCGGTTTCTCCATTTTTCCATTTTTCGATATTTTTTCTTCAATTTTTCGAATTTTTAAATTTCGCTTTTTCTTTTTTTTCATGATTCGATTTTTCGACTTTTCGGTTTTAGATTTTTGTTTTTCAATTTTGCGATTAAAATTTTTTTTTTTGGATTCATGGAGATTTCGATGTTTCGAATTATCGATTTTTTTAATTCCAACTAATTTTTCAAATTTTGGATTTTGGATCATTTCTATCACTGAATTTTTCGATTTTTCCCCATTTTTTGATGTTTCATTTCTCGATGTTTCAGTTTTTGGATTTTTTTGAATTTCGGATTTTTCGGTTTCTTGATTTTTCGATTTTTTACTTTTCAGCAATTTGATTTTTCAATTTTTGGATTTTTAAACGTTTGATTTTTTGATTTTTCAATGTTTCGTTTTCTCGATTTTTCAATTTTTCGATTCTTCAAATTTTTTATTCCATGTTTAAATTTTCTGGTTTTTAAATTTTTCCATTCTTCAACTTTTGGGTTTTCATATTTTTCAATTTTCCAGGTTTTGACGTCAAAAGTATTTCGATATTTCAATTTTTTGACTTCTCGGTTTTAGAATTTTTCGGTTTTTCAATTTTGCGATTTAAATTTTTTTTCTCGATGTACGGAGGTTTCAATTTTCTAATTTTTCGATTTGTCTATTTTTTTTTAAATTCTAAACCTTCAATCCAATTTTTAACTATTCAATTTTTCAATTTTGGGCTATTTCTATTCCTGAATTTTTCGATTTTTCGACTTCTCTGCATTTCGATTTTTCGATCTCCCGACCTTTTGATGTTTCATTTTCACGATTTTTCAATTTTTTGATTCTTCAACTTTTGAATTTCCCTGTTTTATGGTTTTTAAATTCTTCCATTCTTCAATTTTGGTTTTTACATTTTTCAATTTTTCAGTTTTTGACGTTTCAAAAGTTTCAATTTTTCGATTTGTCAATTTCTCGGTTAATCGATTTTTGGTTTTCCATGTTTTTATTTTTCCAGGCTTTTGATTTTTTAATTTTCCGAAATTTCGATTTTTGAAATTTGACAATTTTTGAGATTTTTCGATGATATCCTAATTTTTCAATTTTTAAAATTCCAGATTTCTTTCCAATATCTCCGTTTTTCTGATTCTCGATATTTTATTTTTCAACTTTTCGAATTTTTAAATTTAAATTTTTCAGTTTTTCACGTTTCGGTTTTTTGATTTCTCGGTTTTTCAGTTTTCCAATTTTTATTTTTTTTTCTCGATTTTTTAATTTTTCAATTTTTCTATTTATCTATTTTTTTTAATTCTAAATCTTCAGTTCAGTTTTTAACTATCCAATTTTTGGATTTTGGGCTATTTCTATTCCTGAATTTTTCGGTTTTTCGACTTCTCTGCCTTTCGAATTCTCGATTTTCCGACCTTTTGATGTTTCGTTTCTCAATTTTTTAAATTTTGGATTTTTCTGTTTCTTGGTATTTCGATTTTTCGATGAGAACCTAATTTTTCGATCTTTAAAATTTTAGATTTCTTTTCGATTTCTCCATTATTCTGTTTTTCGATATTTTATTTTTCAATTTTCGAATTTTAAAAAAATTTACATTTTTCAGTTTTTCATGTTTCCATTTTTCGACTTATCGGTTTTAGATTGTTCGGTTTTTCAATTTTGCGATTTTTTTTTTCGATTAATGGAGATTTCGATGTTTCGATTTTCCGATTTTTTGATTTTTCAATTTTCCGATTTACATATCTGTTTTTTTTAAATCTAAATTTTCAATTCAATTTTTCGATTTTGAGCTATTTGTATCCCTGGTTTTTTGGATTTTTCGACTTCTCGGGTTTTCGAGTTCTCGATTTCCCGATCTTTTGATGTTTCGTTTCTCAATTTTTAAATGTTTCATTTTTCAATTTTTCAATGATTTGTTTTCTCGATTTTTCAATTTTTCGGTTCTTTAACTTTTGGATTTTTACATTTTTCAATTTTTCAGTTTTTGACGTTTCAAAAGTTTCAATTTTTCGATTTACTCAATTTCTGGATTAATCGATTTTTGGTTTTTCAACTTTTCTATTTCTAGACTTCTCGGTTTTGCGTTTTTTCAAGGGTTTTTCATGTTTTCATTTTCAAGTTTTTGATTGTAAAATTTTTCGAATTTTCGATTTTTGAGATTTTTCGATGATATCCTAATTTTTCAATGTTTAAAATTTTAGATTTCATTTCGATTTCTACATTTTTCTGTTTTTCGATATTTTATTTTTCAATTTTTGGAATTCTTAAATTTAAATTTTTCAGTTTTTCATCGATTTTTGACTTTTCGGTTTTAGATTTTTAGGTTTTCCAATTTTACGATTTTTTTTTCGATTTATGGAGATCTCGATGTTTCGATTTTTTGATTTTTCAATTTTTTAATTTTGGGCTATTTCTATTCCTGAATTTTCCAATTTTTCGACTTCTGGGCTTTTCGATTTCTCGATATCCCGATCTTTTGATGTCTCGTTTTTCGATTTTTTAAATTTTGGATATTTCAGTTTCTTGGTTTTTCGATGTTTCGACTTTTCAACTGGTTGTTGAAGTATTGGAGTTGCAACCCAAATTTTCAAAATATGTATCTCAAAAATTGTTATAATTAATTTTGCCAATTTTGGAAAAATTATAAGAATTTTCTTAGAACTGAAGCCGTAAAAACATCAGAGGATCGGAATCAACAAAAAATCTCATTTTCTAGATTTCGAAAGTGCTGGAGGAAAAGTCAAAATTTTCAAAGTCTTTTTTTGATTTGCTTTTTTGAAATTCGTTGGAGTTTCAGCTTCATAATCATTCCTTCGTCAACCATCAGAAAATTATAGCCCAAAATATTTTAAGATAAATTCGACTTCTTAACACTGCCATCGCGATCGTTTTCCCTAAGTTATTAAAAACATTTTCCTTGTGGGTTTGTTTTGACGACGATATTACTCACAGCTAATGAGAAATTGACTTGAGATCATCGATATATCTTGAAATCGATCAAAATTTTTAAGCTAAAAACAAATTTTGCAAATTTTTGTATGCCTTTTTTAAAATCATCACCAACAATTTAATCTAATCTAACAAGAAAGAAAATGTACAGGATCATTAACATTTGGAATTAAATACACTAAAAACGGTCTAGTTTTCAGTCCAAAAACCCAGTTCATTCCTCCCCATACGCACCGCCACATATTTGCATTGATCGAGGGTGAGTGATAATGGAACGGTTTCACCACAGCCGCATCATAAAACGTTAAAAATAACACAGTGTAAGCGATAAATGAGAATCATTAAATGGCGCGAGCAAATGGACTGGAGCAAAGTTTTCAGCAAAGTGGTTTGTTTGAAAGCTAAAAGCAACTGAATGAAGCTCTTAGCGTGATGGCCGCTTTTAAAATACAACAAATATTATTTTATGACCGTATAGACCATCAACAAACAACTCGCCCTTCTCTGTGTGCGGTGACGACTTTTATGGTCGATTAACGGCAGGAGTTAACGAGAAAAAAAAGTCGTCGGTGGACACGAAAAATATCGCGGCGCCATGCTGTATATCCCCGTTTTGAATAATTGACGTTAATTAAGAGCTGTTTTATTTCGAATTTAGAGTGTCTGAGCTGTAATGGAATAAATGTGACGAATATTATAATTTCTGTCGATAGGAACGTGTAATCACTTTATTCCGTGAAAATTAATTATGAAACATTCTCATTTCAAATATGAAATTAATTCGTTCGAAAATAGCATAATGAGCACAGTGAGTTTGTGTGACTGGAATTGCAAAAGAGCGCATAATGAAATTTAATTATTTATTCAAGATATTATTAGCCTATCAAGATTATACGGTGTGGTGCACAAAGCAAGCAAACCTCGCGAGAGTGCAAATGCGTTTGGAAAATTAAAACTAGTTCCACAAAACGCGTTCAACTTTGTTCGCGGAATCACTTTTATAATTTCACTAACTTGTAATTAAACTGAGCTTTCACTGCGTGTGTACGCAAGATCAGAACCCTTATCAGTTGTGCTATCCCTCGTTAAAAATTAAAGCGCTGTCACGCTTCTAGATCGAATCCGTCACAAATTCTCGTTCGTCATTGTTGTTTTTAGAGGATTCTCTAAGCAAGTGACAACGTATGACCAACGGATGGGATCGTACCTGTAGGTTACTGACTTGCCTTCTGATATGGGCTAAACTGCTAGGGTTGTAGGTCATATTGGCGAATACCAGTCGTTCTTCGTAGTCATATTCACACAATATCTTATTGTCGCACAAGTAAAACCGGTCGCCCACGCAAAACCTGCAAAAAAAAATCGTTCCGTGTCAATTCAACCGAACTGTGTAAAACGAACTGTTTGTTTGCACCATTAAACAATGAAACATTCAACGTACCTGTGATTACATTGCTGACAAGCGAAACATTCTAAATGATAAACGTTGCTTTTTGCCCTCATTACCATTTCAAATGCTGGAATTACTTTGTTGCAAGCCGCACAGTATCCTGTCGTACCAAATAGCCTAAAAGTAAACAGATTATCAAACACGGTATGATAAATTGGTAATTTTGTGGCGATAGGCTAAAAACGCGGAAATAAATAATGGCAACGAGTTGCGCTCGCTGGAATGAAAGGCCAGTGGCGGCGACACGAAAATGTTCGTTCGTACACTTTTTCGGGATACATTGAGATCATCAGATTAATATATTATTGACATTGGAGTTCTCGACCGCCAAATTTAAATAGTCGATGCCAATAAAAAAACTTGTTTCACTACAACTCGTCGCCTGAGGACTTGTTTGATCTACAGACCAAAGCGCGCTCAGGCCAATGTCGACTCTAAGCGTTCAGAAGCGATTTGGTTGGTTTGGACTATAATTTCTGCGGGAAATAGTTGTTTGGTCGGTTTTTATAACGACTAAGTGAATATTTTTGGTACATATTTGGATGATTTTACATATTTTGTTTAACTAAGAATTAATTCTTTACTTGTGTTTTATACTAGCAAAACGTCTTCAACTAAGAATATTGTTGAAATCATATAACCCAATGGATCTTTTTTCGGGAAAATGTTTTGGAAACACTGTGTTCTATTTTGTATGAATGAAAAATGAAAAATGAAAAAAATCGAAAATTCGAAAAATCGAGAAATCTAATAATCGAAAAATCGAAACCTTAAAAAATAATAAAACAGAAACACTGAAAAATTCAAATATCGAAGAACTGAACAGAAAAATCAAGAAAAATCTTTCAATTTTTAACTATTAAATTTTTCAATTTTGGGCTATTTATATTTTCGAATTTTTCGATTTTTCGACTTCTAGATTTTTCAATTTCTCGATTTTCTGTCTTTTAATGTTTCGTTTCTCGAATTTTCAGTTTTTCGATTATTTAAATTTTGGATTTTTCGGTTTCTTGGTTTTTAGATGTTTAGACTTTTCAGCCTTTCGAATTTTCAATTTTTTGACTTTTTAATGTTTCGTTTTCGCGATTTTTCAATATTTCGATTCTTCAACTTTTCAATTTCCCTGTTTTATGGTTTTTAAATTTTTCCATTCTTCAATTTTTCTTAAAATTTTAGAATTCTTTTCGATTTCTCTATTTTTCCGTTTTTCGATATTTTGTTCAATTTTTCGAATTTTTAAATTTTAGATTTTTCAGTTTTTTCATGTTTTGAGTTCTGGATATTTCGATTTTTCGATTTCTCGGTTTTAGATTTTTCGGTTTTTCAATTTTGCGATTTTAATTTTTTTTTTTTCGATTTATGGAGATTTCGCGTTTCGATTTTTCGGTTTTTATTTTTACGATTTATCGATTTGTTTCAATTCTAACTAATCTTTCAGTTTTTAAGTATCCAATTTTTGGATTTTGGACCATTTCTATGACTGAATTTTTCGATTTTTCCACTTCTCGAATTTTCGATTTCTTGATTTCCTGATTTTTTATGTTTTCTTTCTCGATGTTTCAGTTTTTCGATTTTTTAAAATTCCGGTTTCTGGATTTTTCGTTTTTTTTAGTTTTCCGCTATTTTTTGGTTTGATTTCAATTTTTTGATTTTTAAACGTTTGATTTTTTGATTTTCAATTTTTTGATGTTTCGTTCTCTCGATTTTCCAATTTTTCGATTTTTTGAAATTTCAATTTTCAATTTCTCAGTTCTAGACGTTTCAAAAGTACCGTTTTCTCGAAGACTTGAAATATTAAAAAATCCTAAAACTGAAATATCTAAAAACTGAAAAGTCGAAAAATTAAAGAATTGAAGAACAAGAAAATCGAAACACTCGAAGTTCAGGAAATGGGAAAATCAAAACATCGATTAATTGAAAAATCGAAAAATTGAGAGTTTATGAAAGTCAAATGTGAAAATAAAAAAATCGAAAATTTGACTAAATGACAATTGAAAAACAGAAAATCTAAGCGGGAAGTCGAAAAATCAAAAGATTAAAAAATCGAAACATTTGAAAAATTCGAAAACTTGAAAAATTCAAATATCGAAGAACTGAACTGAAAAATCAAGAAAAATCTTTCAATTTTTAACTATTAAATTATTCAATTTTGGTCTATTTATATTTTTGAATTTTTCGATTTTTCGACTTCTAGGTTTTTCAATTTCTCGATTTTCTGTCCTCTAATGTTTCGTTTCTCGAATTTTCAGTTTTTCGATTATTTAAATTTTGGATTTTTCGGTTTCTTCGTTTTTAGCTGTTTAGACTTTTCAGCCTTCCGAATATTCAATTTTTTTGACTTTTTAATGTTTCGTTTTCGCGATTTTTCAATTTTTCGATTCTTCAACTTTTCAATTTCCCTGTTTATGGTTTTTAAATTTTTCCATTCTTCAATTTTTCGATTTTAACATTTATCAATTTTTCACTTTTTGACGTTTCAAAAGGTTCGATTTTTCGACTTCCCAATTTCTCGATTAATTGATTTTTTGGTTTTTCAACTTTTCTATTTCTAGATTTCTCGATTTTTCGATTCTGCAGTTTCTAATTTTTTCGATGATATTTAGTTTTTCAGTTCTTAAAATTTTAGAATTCTTTTCGATTTCTCTATTTTTCCGTTTTTCGATATTTTGTTCAATTTTTCGAATTTTTAAATTTTAGATTTGTCAGTTTTTTCAGGTTTCGATTTCTGGATGTTTCGATTTTTCAACTTCTCGAATTTTTCGATTTCTTAATTTCCTGATTTTTTATGTTTTCTTTCTCGATGTTTCAGTTTTTCGATTTTTTAAAATTCCGGTTTCTTGATTTTTCGTTTTTTTTTTAGTTTTCCGCTATTTTTTGATTTGATATCAATTTTTTGATTTTTAAACGTTTGATTTTTTGATTTTCAATTTTTTGATGTTTCGTTCTCTCCATTTTCCAATTTTTGCGATTTTTTGAAATTTCAATTATCAATTTCTCAGTTCTAGACGTTTCAAAAGTACCGTTTTCTCGAAGAATTGAAATATTAAAAAATCCTAAAACTGAAATATCTAAAAACTGAAAAATCGAAAAATCAAAAAAGTCAAGTCGAAAAATAGAAACCTTAAAAATCGAAAAATGGAAAAATCAAAAACCTGAAAATTAAAAAAATTAAAGAATTGAAGAACAAGAAAATCAAAACACTCGAAGGTCAGGAAATGGGAAAATCAAAACATCGATTAATTGAAAAATCGAAAAATTGGGAGTTTATGAAAGTCAAATTTGAAAATTAAAAAATCGAAAATTTGACAAAATGACAATTGAAAAACAGGAAATCTAAAACCGGGAAGTTGAAAAATCAAAAGATTCGAATCGAAACATTTGAAAAATTCGAATATCGAAGAACTAACTGAACTGAAAAATCAAGAAAAATCTTTCAATTTTTATGTATTAAATTTTTCAATTTTGGGCTATTTATATTTTTGAATTTTTCGATTTTTCGACTTCTAGATTTTTCAATTTCTCGATTTTCTGTCTTTTAATGTTTCGTTTCTCGAATTTTCAGTTTTTCGATTATTTAAATTTTGGATTTTTCGGTTCTTGGTTTTTAGATATTTAGACTTTTCAGCCTACCGAATTTTCAAATTTTTGACTTTTTAATGTTTCGTTTTCGCGATTTTTCAATTTTTCGATTCTTCAACTTTTCAATTTCCCTGTTTTATGGCTTTAAATTTTTCCATTCTACAATTTTTCGGTTTTAACATTTTTCAATTTTTCACTTTTTGACGTTTCAAAATGTTCGATTTTTCGACTTCCCAATTTCCCGATTAATTGATTTTTTGGTCTTTCAACTTTTCTATTTCTAGATTTCTCGATTTTTCGATTCTGCAGTTTTTAATTTTTTCGATGATATTTAGTTTCTCAATTCTTAAAATTTTGGAATTCTTTTCGATTTCTCTATTTTTCCGTTTTTCGATATTTTGTTAAATTTTTCGAATTTTTAAATTTTAGATTTTTCAGTTTTTTCGTGTTTCGATTCCTGGATATTTCGATTTTTCGACTTCTCCGTTTTAGATTTTTCGGTTTTTCAATTTTGCGATTTTAATCTTTTTTCTCTCGATTTATGAAGATTTTTCGTTTCGATTTTTCGGTTTTTTATTTTTTCGATTTATCGATTTGTTTTAATTCTAACCAATCTTTCAGTTTTTAAGTATCCAATTTTTGGATTTTGGACCATTTCTATTACTGAATTTTTCGATTTTTCCACTTCTCGACTTTTCGATTTCTTGATTTCCTGATTTTTTATGTTTTCTTTCTCGATTTTTCAGTTTTTCGATTTTTTAAAATTCCCGTTTCTTGATTTTTCGTTTTTTTTTAGTTTTCCGCTATTTTTTAATTTGATTTAAATTTTTTGATTTTTAAACGTTTGATTTTTGGATTTTCAATTTTTTGGTGTTTCGTTCTCTTGATTTTCCAATTTTTCGATTTTTTGAAATTTCAATTTTCAATTTCTCAGTTCTAGACGTTTGAAAAGTACCGTTTTCTCGAAGAATTGAAATATTAAAAAATCCTAAAACTGAAATATCTAAAAACTGAAAAATCGAAAAATTAAAGAATTGAAGAACAAGAAAATCGAAACACTCGAAGGTCAGGAAATGGGAAAATCAAAACATCGATTAATTGAAAAATGGAAAAATTGAGAGTTTATGAAAGTCAAATTTGAAAATTAAAAAATCGAAAATTTGATAAAATGACAATTGAAAAACAGAAAATCTAAAACCGGGAAGTCGAAAAATCAAAAGTAAGAAATCCAAACATTTGAAAAATTCGAAAACTTGAAAAATTCAAATATCGACGAACTGAACTGAAAAATCAAGAAAAATCTTTCAATTTTTAAATTATTCAATTTTGGGCGATTTATATCTTTGAATTTTTCGATTTTTCGACTTCTAGATTTTTCAATTTCTCGATTTTCTGCCTTTTAATGTTTCGTTTCTCGAATTTTCAGTTTTTCGATTATTTAAATTTTGGATTTTTCGGTTTCTTGGTTTTTAGATGTTTAGACTTTTCAGACTTTCGAATTTTCAATTTTTTGACTTTTTAATGTTTCGTTTTCGCGA